TACAATTCTTTTTTCTGGCTTTAAATGTTATATAAATTATTATTTAGACAATTTATTTACATGGCAAGTCCATAATCAAATATCTGGGTCATCTGTGTCCGATCTATTAAATTGATGAGCATATCTGCGCCTTTTAATAATTTAACGTTAAAATGGATAATTGTTTATTATACTAGCAATGGTACTTGACAATAGAGACAATCTACGCCACATCTTGTCAAACGTCCAGAATAAAGTAATTTGACTGAATGTCAGTATTATTCATTTCTATTACAACAAGAACCGTCAGCTCTTTATCTAAATCTTACATAATGCACCTTTAATCAGTTATTGAAAATGCAAAGTACAGTGTTAACACTAACAATTCGTCATTCATTTCGATAGACTATTTCTCGAAAAATAAAAGCCGACTTATAATCCAACCCACACACGCCTGACTAAGAATATGGATAAAAAAACAGTAGAAAAAGAGATTCATCAAAATTAAAACAAGAATATATACTACACCGTGTTCGACGCAGTATATGTATCCATATAAAAAGGACAGATAGTCGTTATATAATCTACCAATTTTGATTCTTTAAACGTGACGTTGGCTATCTTTTGCTATGTTCCCACTGTCACGATTCGCGCTACGATTGAAATCGTGGTTTTAATCGCAGAGTATTCGTGATGAACCCTTTTGTTCTTATCATATCTTGAGGTCAGTCGTAGCAACCGTGTTCATCGTAAACAAGTTTTGGGCGGTTTAAAAAATTTCTACGATCAACACGATTGATTGTCAATCGTGATCATCGCTTCAAATCGTATTAGATTGTAACAAAGCGCGGCAGATCGCACCTAATTGTGCTTCTAAATCGAAGTCATTGGGATCAGCCTTGGACAAGACAAACACCACGCTGTTAAAATGCACCGTGATCTATATAGACGTCCGGGAAACAATGAAGTCCATTGCCAGTCGGGCTGTATATACCGGTCGGGGTCCAATCGTAGCCCAAATCGTGATCACTCTCGTTCCCGATCGTGAAAGACAATCGTATCCTAACGCAAAAGAGCGCATCGGTCCCTGATGATCGCGTCGAAATGTATCCGAGCGTATCTGTACGTACAGCCCCCGTCAGACCAAAGCACGACCTAACGCGACTCAAATTATTTTGAGTCGCGTTGCAAACTCACAGCAAAGCCGGAGAAGGTCTTCCTGGATCGTGAAGGTCGCCGCCAGGTCTTATGAATCGGGAGCAGATCTTGTTGAAAAGGCATCTGATCGATCTCTACTCGACAAGTAACCTTGACGGTCCAGGTCGTGCTTTGGTCGCGTTGGGAGCCCGATCTTGTTGTATCGTATCGGGATCGCGTTCGGTCGGGTTAACGTCTGATTGGATCGCCTTGATCGTGTTGAGAGCATGTTATGGGGTCTTGCTTGATAGTATCGACATCTTGCAGATACCGAGTCTGTCGGTCCTGGAGACTGGTGGAACCAAGTTCATCAAATTTGTACCGCGATTATACGCGACCTGCTAAAAATTATGAGTCTCCTTGGATCGCCAAACGTTTTAGATCTGGTCCGTGTACATTGTACTGTATGCAGGATATGAAACTACATGCCTATTTCTGATCATTTTATACTATTCTGCAGAGGTCGTGATGGATCTGGACAGGGTCTGTACAGTATCAGGTCAGAAGCGAGTTTGTCGTGTTGGGGCCGTGATTAGATCGAGTAGGTCTTATCAAGGTATTGTTGGATCTGGACTGGAGCGAGTTAGTCGCAACCAGGCCGCGCTGATCGTATTGGGAAGCTGTTAGTGTTGAGGTCGGATGTAGATCGAGTTGACATGTACCCGGGGATGATACGCTTCACTCACGATCCAACTCGACCTGAACACGACCGCAACACGGTTTACACGACCCAGGCACGATCAGCTCAACATTAACACGCTTCTCGTCAGACTCTTGACAAATCGGGCTTTCCCAGGCTCCCAACTCGACCTGGACCGTCACGGTCACTCGTCGGGAAGCGATCGAGTCGATGCCTTTTCAAAAAGACCTACCCCGGATTCACCAAGACCTGGCGGCGACCTTCGCGATCGAAGACGACCTTATCCAGGTTTACAACGCGACTCAAAATGAGTTGCGTTAGGTCGTGCGATATGGTGTTACGGTTTTGTTAACAGAAAAATGAGGATTCTGAGCTTGACATCTGCTCAAAGCGTGCTGCATCGTGATTCGTCGTATTAAGATATACTTCGTCGGATCGCCAAACTGTATAGATCTGAACCCCATCGGGCTTTGGTCTGACGGGGGGCTTACCAGATCGTGGACTCAATAGGGACAATCCCATCGGAACGTACCTGATCGTGTCTGAACGGAAGACCAGATCGTGTCACATGAAATTGACCAATCGTGACCATATCGCATCCAAGCGCACCAAATCGTACCAGAACGTATCGACTCGCATCACCTCGTATCCAAACGTAAAATTTCAGAGAAGTAAATACAAATTCCACGATCAGTAAAAGACGGAATGTACCCACAAAAATTTGATTGGATTCGACGAATGGAACATATATATAAATTAGAAAATGTGTAAAGAAGTAAATAAAGAAGGTCTATATAATTAACGTAAACACCAGTAACAGCATTGAAAATAATAATAACTAGTCTATTTTAATGGTTTGTTTTTAGTTAATAATCCTGCTGTGTAGAATAATTATAACGCAAAATCCCCACAGATAGGTTTTTTTAATCACTATGAACTACATGGGAAAATGATCTACAAAAAAAGCATTTAAATTTCAGACGTCCGCGAAGCTATTAATAGATAATATTATGTTGCGATGAGCTAATTTAGTCTTCAGTTCGACCGCAACATGTTACACCTACTTTATAGTTTCCTTGTGATTTGAAATATATGATCTCAACATCACAGAATTCAAATCAAAGATAAAGCCAAATACATCACTCAATCTCGTAATTACACTTTCTAAAATTACACAATTGAAGGCATATTCCTTAGTAGTTGACAATGAAATGAAATGAAATGTGGTTTAACGTCCTACTGTTCTGCTTCATTTTCGGTTCGCTCCTATAAGCGCATACAGGCCTTATGTATAGTATTAATATTTAGTTTTGGTTTGTCCACACAAAACAATACCACGCTAAATACTATACCATCTGAGCTGCTATGAGTTCTTACTGTCGATATCTGATCGAAATTATTCCGGTAAGGGATTTGCATGACTGACATTATGTAGCAATTGGTTGCTAAAGCAAACCTGGTGCACACGGGCAATTTTGTCGCTTATTGAAGTTACGAGCAATTTAAGGCGGCCATCGATCCGATCGAATTGGCTATATTTATGTGTGGGCGCGTGCAAGTAATTTCAAGAATTGTCACCGCTTATCTTATGATCTCATAGATGAAAAGCAACTTACTGTGTGCCTTTAATTTGTAACACCATGCTATTTAGCTTGAGCTAATTAGTCAAACAAAAACATTGCTCTACGAGAAATTGGTTGTTGCCGAATACATAGCGATCAATTCTTTATCGCCGACGAATATGAAACTTTTCAATCATTTAAGTGCCCAGTCTATAAAAAACAGACACAAACCCCGCAAAGACAAAAAACCGACCAACTAATATTATTAATAGACTGAAGCCAGTCTAATCCAGAACACAACTCTTTTAATACTTCAAAATTGGCCTTCGCTTGATCAGAAAAGCGTCACGCACTGCTGTGGAAAAATATATGTCTGTCAGTATTAGCAATAGGGTAAGTTTCTTTTTAAAAAAGATAATCAAGTCACAAGGAATTGTCAAATATTCCAATATTATTTGGTCTAACATGCGTATGAAATTAATATTATTGACTAGGTGTTACGTGAATGACTGTAAACCCCCTGGTTTGGGAGGAGGTAGTGAAGAAAGAGAAGTGTGTTTGATGGGGTGTGGGAGCCGGTATTGGGGTGGCGTATTATAACGTTAAAGATATCCAATGTGAGATTTAGAGAAAGAGCTAGATAATGAAAATATTAAAAATTTCGGTAAAAATTCTATATTCTGAGCGATAGATGCGAGAATTATGCGAGAATTGGAGAAAAGGCTGGCAGTTTTTGGTATTAAAGTTCCAAAATAGATACTGAAAATTTCTGTAAAATTACTACATGTATATTCTGAGGGAAATTATGATAGAGGAATGGGGTTGAGCGTGCACAAATTAGGTTATTTCGGGACTTACATATGTCTCAGTTTTATTTCATCAATTCGCTTGAACCAAGAGGTGGGACAATAAATAGCCATAATTGGCAGATAGAAAGTCCGTCCACATTTCTTATTCATGATTATCAAGTACAATTGCGATGGTATTCAAAGAAGTCTCGATTGTCGGTCCTTTCATTGGCGGTCTCGGGTCATATTATTAGCTCTTAAATCAGATATGGCAGGCATAGTCTAATCCACGCAATATCTAACCAATCCGAGAGTCAAGAGAGTTGATTATGGGCTTGTGATATGAAATTATATAGCATGTGAAGCCAGAAACACACCCTGCAAGAGGCAAGGTTGGCTCTCGCATAATGCCTCTTTAACGAAGTAATACAGTCACATGACTCACTTTCGTATTTTAGGTGGAATCGTTGCGTTAATAGATTGCTGTTTAAATGTATGAAATCCCAAAAGATTCCATGGGAAATTAACTATTCATTATTCAATTTTTTATTTTCTGTTACATGAAAACATATTTCTTCATTGTTGTTTGTTCCAATTGTTTTGTGTTTATTAACGACCTGAATGCTACAAATCCCAATAGAGAAATTGCGAACTGTAGATCGATCTTTGTGATATATTTTTATAAATGAAAATAGTTAATTTTGTTTGAAAGAAACTACATTATCATTTAAAATAATCATATTTAGCTATCTGGTGTGATACTCTTTCGAAGAAATTTCAAACTTTCAGTTTCCAGGTGAAGTGAGTCGTAATTCTCAAAATTCCACATTTCAGGATCCAGTTTGGGGAATAGAAAGAAATATATATCGCTGGAGAACCAAGACTTGTGTGAGCTTATTGGTAAGACGAAATTGGGAAAAAGTTTGCACTGGTGGCATCGTTTGATCTAATGCAAAATAGGCGAACGGGTAAAACGTAAAAAAACTTTCTTCAAACACGCTAAATTGTTTTCCGATAATGGACTGTTTGTTCAATTCATTGATTATGACGTGTCACATATAAAGCTGCTGGTCCGCTTTTATGTCGTCAGTAACGCCAAACAATTTTGTATGTTCAAATTTAGTGTCTGTTGTTAGGTATTAAATCTTTCGAGATAAAATAAACCGGTAATAATTTGAACACAAACGAGATCCGGCCTTATGACTAAGCAGGGCCTATTTTATGGTTTTATTGGCGTAGCACCGTTTCCGGTGTTTTGGGGTTCCGTGGAAATTTCCAGATTTTGACTTCCGATCACAAGCTTTAACCATACTATAACAGAATTAACATATTTATATTTATAACCGTGTGTCAGTATTATTAGCAGTCCAAAAAAACATCCAAAGTCGATCCAAAGGAAAATGAACCGTCACTGTCACCTGCACATTACGATGTTTAGGTGCTGGTGGGAATACGTCAACAATACAAAACTTTTGAAACAGAAATCGAAAGTGGTCGATGATCATAATGATTAAGTTTCCCAATACAATCTTTCCAGATTCACAAGGCTACATTTTCAGAGCACGGATTTCTTTTTATCCAGAGTCACGTTCTTGCCTATACGAACGTTCAAATAGTTATAGTGTGATAGTTTCCCAATACAATCTTGCCAGATTCACAAGGCTACATTTTCAAAGCAGGGATTTCTTTTTATCCAGAGTCACGTTCTTGCCTATACGAACGTTCAAATAGTTATAGTGTGATACACCCGACAAATTATTACAATATTGTGTAAGTATTAATGTTAATTTCAGTCGTTCAGTGGCTACTTAATGTTTACATAAAATGTTATTTTTAAATGTAAAAGATTTCTCATCAATTGTATGACAGTTCAGTTTCTAACCATGACTTAAAACAACTGTTTAGAAGCTTCTAAATTGCTAATTCTTTCGATAGATACCCCAATTATGAAATAATTCAACACATCCATTTCTCAACATCGTTTCAGAGAAAAAATGGTCAACCACATAGTTACGTAAGGATTCCACATAGAATATCAAAAATATGTTTCCATGGCATTTAATAACACTGATTTAGCCCTGGATGTTATCATGTTGTACTGGGAGAGCCGGGGGTATAATAAATCACTATAATCGACATTTTCTGATTGACATGGAATATATATTTCTCATTATCTTTTGCTCTATTTGTAACATATTAATACCAGATATGACACTGCACAGTATAATGTCTATAGTATTATATGTGCTACATACCGTAGACTATATTTTGTTGTGACAGGAAAGCTCATCGGGGAACACACCTGAATATATTTATTACTTCCAAGAAAATTAAAAAACATATCGAAATTACTCGAGGGAGTAGCGTGTTTGTAAAACCTACTGCAATATTTAAGAAATCATTCCCATTTGATTCTACCTGTGCTTTAATTGTTCCGTTCAAGAATCGATATGGTATATATAATATCCTCTGATTAGTGCGTATCTAAACGGGCATTGGATATCGTTTAATTTCCCTGCGTTGAAAAGTATACCATAACTTTTAAGGACACAAAAGCGTAGTTTTTAGTTTTAATTCTTGGGTTGTATGAATTATGAAAATGTGAACATAACCCATGTCTTAAACTCATAATTGTTTCGAGGGTAATATACATATATATACCAAAAAATACTAATATTTGGATGGAATAATCTATATTTAAATAACTAACTATGTATATAAATATTAGTATTTTCTGGTAAATACATCTGAGAGTTCGTTCTTTTAAATTGAAAGTACCACACGAACTATCCCATCCCACCCTCAAAAACACGGCATCAATTATACAGTGTAGCAAAACCGCCTGTCATAATAGCGACGTAAACCAGAAAGGACAAAATGAACTGTAAAGTAATATCCGTTTGTTAACAGTGACAAAGCCATGTGATCATGTGCTCTGGAAGCACGGTGCAAGACAAGGGGTTGGAATATATTCAAACAGACAAATGCACACTCGAACAGACGAGCGATTTCCTATTAATAAGTCATGAAACAATATTGGCATACCATTCACAACTATATATGTAAAATGGGCTTCTCGTGAAGTGTATATTCCAGCTGATGATTAGGAGCCATATCGTCAATAAGATACATCTTTAACCCCGAGAGCTCTTTATGGCATTTGTAATGACTGCACCAATTTAGGCAAGTGTTACGTGTAAATTTTTAATAAATTAATATATAAATTGATACTAGTGACATTTGTAATATGAATAATCTAGTGGTATAGCAATAGCATCATGCTTACTTAACAATCTTCCATCTACTGTAATAATTAGTTTACTCTGTGATTTATAGAGCAAAGAGAATATTAAAATAAGTGGAGTTATAAATTCTATTTCAAGATACACCAAGCCCAAGACGTGAATATTAGAGAATATATATTTTGCCGGTGCTCTTTATTTATTTATACCTTATTGACTATAAACTGGGTCACAAATACTATGTCATGAAATAGCCATGACGTCATCGCCGCCATATTGAAATTGTGACATCAAAAAGTACGCCAATATATGCTCAAGGAACAAGCATGCCCAGTTTCATGTCGATCGTACTTGAATTGGCAGATCCTTTGGGCTTTTTTCGAAGCAATTCGGTTCAAAATATAATATATTATTATCAATTCAATATGATAATATTTTGATATAATTAGTAAAATCGATGGGAATCCGTCGATCTTTAAAAATGTAGGGGCACCAACAGAACCAATATTATAATACAACTATTTTTTCCCCAGCAAAGTTCGAAACCAAGATTAATAAACAAACTGGCTTCTGCATGATTTTTCGAAACCAAAATTAAATTGTTTACATTGTGTCCGATAAATAACACTGAAGATAACTTAAATTTAAAAATAAAATCGCCTTTCAGTTGTAAAAAATACACGATGTTGTGTTTTAAAATGTTTGAATTCATATTGCTTGCTTGAGATAGTTCATGACGGCCATGTATGACGACAGAGATACACATCACAGAGCATCAAGTAAATAATTTAAATGAAGATTGTGGAGACAGTTTTTTTAAAAAGTTAAAGCTACTTGATCTTGACAAATTCTCCGATGAAACTGATCTTCAGTCCATGTCAAGTTTATTGAAAAAAATTTTAATTGAATCTCTTTTTTTCCTGGCACGAGGCACGGCTTTCTTCACCTTAGGCGTGTGAGGCACGAATCACTCCATTTGATGTGTCACTATCTGAAGTGAAGTAATTTCCTGAAAATGGCTATACTCTATCTGTGATATTGATAATAGATATAATAAGATAACTATCGTTATTTTCTCTGAAGGTTGGCAATTAATTGATTCGAAGACAGAAGGTTGAAATGATCATACAGGAACAATAGAGAACTTTATTCCATGAATGATATAATAACAACTAGAATATTGATGATTCTATCTCAACCCGTGGTTTCGCAAAATGTTGTTAGACCACAAATCCGCCGAAAAACGCTACTCATCTTATTGTTCTTCTTGTTCTTAGGGGCTGCGCTCTTCAAAAAAAAAGAATAGGGCTCCATCATTTAGTCCAATCGACATGAAACTTATCATGTGTGTTCCTTGTACAGTTTGCACATAGACTTTAGTTTTTGATATGACGTCATAATTCCAAGATGGCGTCAAACTCGGTTCCTAGTCTATAGTACGCTCGCACTACTGTTGTGCTACACTATATTGTATAACCTACTTTTCAGATTTCTTCGTGAAACTTTTAAAACCCTTCATAAGTGACAGTAAGTGACATTTTTATATCCTTTAAAGTTCTGTGTATACACAGAGTTCAAATCTAATTTCATACTTTACATTTCCGCTGACCGTCGGGGATATATCCGAAATTCCTCTTTATCTGGTTGTTATTAAACTGATGACTTTTCTTGAGGCAATATAATATGATATGATAGTATATGATTATATTGGTAATTACTTCTGGGCTATCTAATAATGTTAGACAATCTGATTAAAACACAGATCCTATTTCGCTTCGTTTAGTTCAAAATTTCGCTTTACTTGTCTTTACTACACTAGGATCTGGAAGAGTTGTTATATTACCGGCGTTTTGCTTGAAGTGAGGGATAAACTATTAAAACAGTCTGTTACGGCAACTTCTTGGTGTGTTTTGCACGGAGCTGTGGGTAAACCACGAGGAACGCCAACGCTGATTGATTAATCAATGTTTGACGTCATAGGGTCAAAAGCCGCTCGTACGACCCCTGACAACCTTCGAGTGCAACTTGTCAGATTTTCATGTAGTGTAGGCCATCGAAAGTATAAAAAACGAAACGAAATATAGATCTGTATTTTAATCAGATTGAATGTTAGATTAATAAGTAGAAAATAATGTATGTTAAAATTGCAAAATTAGTTGATCCTTTTGTACTTCCTGGTCATTGTAAGACGTGAGACTGTCTTCTTTTTTAAAATAAAATATACAAAATAGTCAATTTAAACAAATCCACAACTTTCACTTATTCATTCTGACACAATCCAATCATAAGCTGGTTAAAGAGACCTTTTGCGGGTCTTTTTTCTAGCTTCAAATGTTAGTGTGGGTGTATTATGCCGTTACCATATTAACGCGATAGGGGCTGTAGTTTTTCTACGCCCACATTTTCATGTGGACGCATATTGTCTTCGCCCCTGGATGTCCGTACACAGTTTATTTGTGGACACTCTACAGGTCACAATTCTTATCCGAATTTGCCGAAACTTGAAATATAGGTTTATCTCCAAACGATCGCGGTTCCTTTCGAAATTGGCATGTATGGGATCGAAACTTCCTGGATTATGGCCCCTGATTGTAGAAAAATTATGCTTTTAGCTTGTGGACACTCCAGAGGTTACAATTTTCATCTGATTTTGATGAA